GAAGATTTTATTATAACATGGAGAAATAATACAAATTTTATGATTTGTCTAACTTCATCTAAAATACAATAAAGAGCTAAATATATATAGGGAACAATTAGGGGACTTCCAAATCCTTATAATAGAGTTGTATATGAAGTATAATGCCAAAAATGGAGTCCAAAACAAAAAAATGAGACTAAAACAGCAAAACAGTGTAACTGGCGCTGCAACGCCACTCATCGGGCGCCGCAGCGCCGGGGGCCGGCGCCTATGCACCTTGTCTCTGACTCAAACTCCTTGATTTTTTTTCTTCATTCCAAAGTCTTATTTAGGTTCAATAAAAATTCTTACTCCCAATGTACTTTCAAATGGAACTTCAATTAGAATTTATCAAGTAAACTTGAATAAGATTTCACAATTGCATTCTAAATAAAATTCTAATCACTTTAATTAAAACTCTCAATTATCTTCCACAAATAATTCAGTTCACACCCAAATTCTAACACCTACATTAACAACAAGCTTGCCAAGTTATCCCCCGCACCAAACCCCCCAAAACAGAGTTATCTAATTTGATATAGAAGTCACTTAATTTTGGTCCTGAATTCCCTTGCAAGAGCAGGCAAAAGGGAACTCCCAGCGTTGATGAGTTTGGGAAGGAAGAGATAAGTCCATATACCACAAGGGCTAATAGTAGAGGGGAAAAAAAGGAGTGGAACCTCAATATGTTTAGCAATATCAACTGCAAAGCAGAATATTCCATTGGCTATTATGCAAGTTGTCGGGTTCTCAAAGTTGGGACCAGAAGTTACCACTTCCTGTAATAGTGGCACAACACAGCTTTCATAGAATCCAACATCTCAAAATATTCATTGGCAGTGCAGATATTGTCTTTGGGAAGGCCATCGGGCACTGTTTCAAAATGAAAATTGGAATAGAGTCGATAATATGATTCACTACTGGTGCAGTTTAATAAACAGTGTTGGAAGGGTTTCGAGTTTAATACATAACTACTTTAATTTATTATAGGAAATACAAATCATAGTACCTTAACTTGGATTCATTGAATAAGTTCCATGTTTTAAAACGAATAATGGGTTAACCACTTCTATATTATCAAGACAGAAGGTCTGGATCTACATGATGCCACCCTGACCCTGCAAATTTCAGTCATATCAAGACCAAAATAATCAAGTATCACAAATAGGGATGTCAAAACCAGAGTTGTGCACTAAAGGACCAGGTCCCACATTACTATGAAGTGGAACACATCTCTGTTTAGTAATATCAACAGCAAAGCGCAAAATTCCATATGCAAGTTATTTGAATTTCATTAGAAAGATGCTAGTAATATTCACCATATTATTTTCAGATGTATTTTTCTAGTGTTGTGCATTCGTTTAACCGAGTGTTTAGTTGAGCAGACACTTATAGTCGAGCTAAGGTTTGAGGACACACTTGGTAAATTCAAGGTAGTCTAATGTGGGTTTGTTACAGTTCCACCATTCGCGGATTTTTTTGTCTGCTTGACATAGTTTGACGAAGTTATAGTGCGTCAAACCATTTTTTTGACCCCACGCAAGTTATGTGGAATATTGATGTAATTTCAAGATATCATGATCAAATAGAGAGAATATGTCATGAGATAAAACTTATTCTGTTGCCAATACTTTTTTGTTTTCACATAGTAAGCAAGCACATATTCAATGTATTGCCCTATGTGGAAAAGCTGCCTGAAATACATCAGTACTTGTGTAATGGGCAAGACGTGGTGGATGTGATTTTGTACCTTTTCTTTTCTTTTCTTTTTTTTTTTTGGTCGGTAAATAAAATATTCATTGATCAATCATAAACAATTACACTGTGCATTCCCGGGCAACCATCAATCATAATATCATACGGTGTACAACTACTACGAGCATACCCGAGCAAAACATATGAAAACAAAGAAAATGATGTACAAATGATATGGATCGATGACCTCAGGGGCGGGGGCAGGGGGGTCCTGGGGGGGACCCGGACCCCCCCAATTTTTTGACAATTTTTTTTTATTTTAAAATTTTATTTTTTATATTTATCATTTTATCCTGAAATGAATAAAAAACTTAAACCCCACCAATCCAAAAACTTAAACTCGAAAGTAACGCTTGTAATAAGGTATGATTTTACAAAATTAAAGATTAGTACTTTCTTTTAAACGTGTCTTGATTTTTTTGTTAATTTGTATATTAATTTATGTTCATTTGTTTCATTTCTTCATCACAAAGTACTAACTTCCCTCATTTTAACAGATAATGTTCCAAAAAAAAAAAAAAAAAATTTGGGGCAGCCCGTGACCCCCCCCACCCCTTCAACTCTAAGACCCCCCCCTACTTCAATGGGCTGGCTCCGCCCTTGGATGACCTATTGCTAATGACTCCCATTGAATAATAACATTCGGATACAAAGAAAACATTACTTTGTATACGTGTGTTTTGATTCTCCAGACAACACTATCAACTCGTGGTGTAAGGTTCTCAAAAATCGTTTTGTTCCTTGCCGTCCAAATGTGATAAACGGTAGTAGTAAGTGCAATACGTTTGACTTTGCTATGCCAAGTTGTGCCCCAACTTTCTTTTTTAATCCATTTCATTGCACTAGGGAGAGTGGACATTGATCGCCGATACCCAGCCATACACGGATGCTACCCCAAACCGTTCGGCTGAATGGGCAGCAAAAAAATAAGTGACCTGTAGTTTCGTCCGTCTGTTTACATAGGCTGCACATGCGGTCAATCTGTAGGTAGTTGATGCAAGGGGATCCGAGCCAGACGAGGCTGAACTGTTTGATAGTTCGTTAATGGCGCTGAGATACCACGAGTTGGCGGATCAGCGCAAGAATGGCAAGTAATCATCGATCTTTCCTAATTGGGGCCGCTTTTGGACACGTTTCGGTATTTTGGTCATAACTTTGGCTACGGTTGTTAGAATCACGCTCATGACTCCAATTCGGAAAGCTCATTCCGGCGCAAACGTCGTGGGCACCAAGCTATGCTTGGTGTGCATCGGTTTCGAGGCCAAATTCAGCTGTTTTCCCGTCCGAATCATCAATTTAAGTTATTTTTTGCCATTTTTAGTAATATTTCGATTTCCTTTTTGACATAGATTACGATCTCAAATTTAACCAGATTTTTGAGATCTTCTTCCTTTCATTACGTATTTCGTTTTAGTATGAATAATAGAATTTTTCTATTTTTGGCAAAATTCCGATAATTAATATTTTCTAGCTATTTAACCCGGCTTGTGGGTTATTTTCGTTCAGTTGTTGAATAATAAAGAATTTTCTCGTTTCTCTTGCGTTCTTCTCTATATTTGTCAATTGGTTCCACCCTACAGAATAATCACTATTTTGTCTGGCGTCAGTAGTGCAATCAGTCTTTAGTCAGCAGTTTGGAAATTGTAGCCAACCACATGATGAAGACGTGTTTAGGGGTAGCATAAGCGTTCCAAACACATCCTGTCCAGATTACTTTAGCTCCTTTCGCCCTGAAAAATTCGTATGCATTTGCTATGCAAAATTTCCCCGGAAAAGTCTAGGAGGACAGTGTGTCAATAGCATCTTGGGTAGTTCGTGCTGCCCCCTTAATGGAATCTCTAATATCCAGCAGTTTCTTGTACAGAGGGGAGTCATCCTTCCTTGGCATGTACGTCAAAATGCAGCTCCCGTGGGGATAAACCTGATGAACCCATTTGATCCACAAAATATCTTTCTTACAATGAATGTTCCATAGTGTTTTTACAAGAAGTGCAGAATTCCAGCTTTTGATATCCCTAAGCCCGAGTCCACCTTCAACCTTGGGTAAGCAAATATTGTTCCATGCAACCAATGGTTTCTTGGATCTCCAAAGAAAATTACAGCATAGAGTGATGATTCTAGAGGCAACCGTGGCCGGAATGGGAAAGATAGATAGCCAAAAGCATTCGACCCCTTGAAGCACCTCTTTCACTAGCTCCATTCTTCCCGCATAAGATAAAGAAGCCTTAGACTAAGCTTCTATATAAGCTGTGATTTTGTTAATAAGACCATCATAAGAGCTGATCTTCAGTTTTGTCGCCGTTAGAGGAATACTCAAATAGCGAAAAGGCATGGAACCTTTAGGTATGCTAGCAATCTCATGGATTTCCTCCATTTCTTGCCCATAGACTCCCGCTAAGTACCAGTTCGACTTGTCAACATTCATTTTCTGCCCCGACATGTTGCCAAAATCAGCCAAGAAAAGAAATGGAGGTGTAGGGTCTCAATCTATTTAGGGCTAGATTGTATCAAACGACGTGTGATTTCAATATCAGGAATTTGTTCTTGAAGTTGGAGCCATCCAGTAATCTTGACAATATTTAATTAGGTTTGTTTGAAGACTTTCTTTATGATGGTTACAGATTTTTGGGAAAGATAGAGCTTCCATGTTAGAGGTATCCTAAACTTTTGAATATTGTGTGTTGCAAGAGATCCTTGATAATATTGCTTCAAGGGGATTCTTAAGCATAAAAGCAAATAAAAGTGATACAAATTTTATATTCTCAAATATGTTTACTTACATTTTCTCAATGTTTATTTATTATATTAGTTTGTACTAAACCTAAAAAAGAAATTTTTTTTTTTGAAACTTATTTACTTAAAACTAAAGCAAACTTTTTAGTTTTGTGAAGAATACTCCGATTTGAACTTTTGTCATGATGCTATGCTAATCAGCTAATTTCAATACAATTTTGCTCATGGACAAAGATTGATGACATTTCTCATGTTAAATGGTTTGGGCTTTGGCCGAATCTTAAAACGATCTAAGAGCAAAGGATCAAGCTTTTGGATGTCCATCAAAACAAAATGACAAAGCGAGATATCTTTTTCAACGCCAAAAAAGAATTGCAGTAAAACATAATCTCAAAGAATTTGAATATCTGACCGTTACCATAGTCTCCTCCTAGTAACACTCGAGGAGAAGTGATTGAAGATGGAATATCCTATAATGGACAAAGTAGTCACTAGGCCTGCGATGTTGATAACGTCATCAACTTAATATCTTCGATTAGTTTATCTAGATTTTGGTACGAACATCCACCTTTACTCACACTTGCCTTGGCCACATTCGCAATGTGATCAGCCCTTTGCAAGAATTCTTCCTTCTTGGACTCCATAAGCTCCCTAACCATCCTTTCTACTATCACTCTGTCGCATGTATCTTTCATGTCCAAACCGAGCTTCCAAACCTCTCCCACAAACCTACTATTAACTTGCTGGTCAACAAAATATGGCCAGCAGATCATTGGCTTCCCCTCCACTATACTCTCCAATGTTGAGTTCCATCCACTATGGGTCAAAAACCCACCAATTGCTGGGTGGGACAAGACCTCTTCTTGTGGAGCCCAACTGACAATGTAACCCCTCTCTTTTGTAGCTTGAGACAAGTCCATAGGAATTTCAAATTCTTTCTCCAATCCAACAATTGAACCGGGCCTTCGGACCCATAAAAACCTTGTTCCACTATTCACCAGACCATACCAAATTTCCATGACTTGGTCCTTGGTCATGACTGCGAGACTTCCAATGCTAACAAATAAAACAGATTTGACGGGTTGCATATCAAGCCAAGGGATGCAACTCTTGTCTTCTTTCCAGATGCTATTTGATGTCGTTTCTGTTGCAAGTCTTGTTTTCAAGTGAGTGTGTATCGGCCCTATGGGGTAGATTTTTGGGCTGATTTTGCGCATTTGTGATAATATGGGTGCTTCAAGATCCTCAAATGTATTGAAAATCAGTCCTTGGGCTAGGGGAAGGTGCCTGTCCTCGTTGAGAACTAATTGGATAACGGGATCATTAAGGTCCTTGGTCCGATAAAAGGTAGGAAGATCCCGGCGCCTCAGAAAACCTTCCATTCCTGGCGCATTAACAACAAGCTCATCCAAATCATCCCCTGTAAAAAAACAGAGTTATCTAATTTGATAGAGAAGTTAATTTCTGTTCTGAAAGAGTAGGCAAAACTCACCTTTGAAAGGAAATTCCCCAGCTTCAATGAGTTTGGGAAGACAGAAATAAGTCCATAGACCACAAGGGCTAATAGTATCAAAATAAAGGAGTGGAACACCAACCCGTTTAGCAATATCAACTGCAAAACAAAATATTCCATCTGCCACTATGCAAGTAATTGGCTTCTCAGAATTGGGGCCATAGGGACCAGAAGTTACCATTTCTTGAAATAGCGGCACACTCACAGCTTCCATTGAATCCAACATCTTGAATATATCATCCGCAGTGCGTGGAGTGTCTTCGGGAAGGCCATCGGGCACGGTTTCAAACCGAAAACTCGGATAGCGTCGAAAATAGGATTCAACATTAGTGCAATTCAGCAAACATTGTTGAATGTACTGCGTGTTTAGAAAAGTTACTTGCAGACCATCATGACAGAAAATTTCTGCGAGTTTGAGCATACAATTGACTGGTCCTTGAAGTGGTAAGGGGAATATGAGCACATGAGGAGGCGATGCAGATGCTCTCTCATTATCCATGTTTTGGTTGGGTTAGAACTGAACCTCACTTCCCCCCTTTTATTTCAACGCATTGAGTCAATAGAATTTACCCAGGTGCTATTAAGCGAAGTGCAGATGCATACCTTTTTGTTTGAAAATAATGTCTGCCACTACAGATTTATTATTGAATTGAGTGAAGCTGTAAAACACCGGAAACTCACCTAACATTATTTTATGGAACAAGTCATTTTCATCTAAAGTCGGTTCATTGAATAGGGCCGCATGTTTTATGATGAACACAATTGAGGAACCACCATAATCCATATATTTTGCAAAGACAGACTAGGTTTGGATTTACATGGCATGCAAAATGATGTCACTCTGACTTTGAAAGATATACATTCGAATAATATCTAGACCAACGTGTGATGATGAATAGAAGAAAAGCTTCCTTTCGTCTAAAAATAATAGTCAAATGAGAAAAAAGTTAAACCGTTTTTCGTGTAATATTTGTCGCAACGAATAGCCTCGTCTTATTTGTACTCGCTGATTTAGGGTCTACTTGATTTTACTTTTGAGAAGTTCAAATATTTTTTTTGAAATTTAGGAGTTGCTTTTGAACTCGTTTAATTAATTTCATAAAAATGTTTCTACTCATTAAAAGGGCTTTTTTTACATGAAATTGACATAATGCGGCTTTCTCTAAGACCCTGTTTGACAGTATTTCTTTTCTATGGAAAATAAAACCAAACGAACATCAAAAGATCCAAAATTTCAATATTTTTCAGGTTAAAATTTATATCAATCAAACACAATTAATCGACAATTCCCAGTAAAACAAGTTCTGGCAATTTAATTTCCTGAAATTCATTTTCTTTCCACCCAAAACATCAATTAAAATTGCTTCCTTTCTTCGAAAAAAATTGAAGTAAAAACAGAAACTCATCCAAACGGATCATTATTCCCATTTAGATACAAGTACCAATTGAATGGATTTGGATGAGATACGAATGTGGTCATTCTTGATATTTAATTGATTAGGCGATTCAGTCGACATTGACATAGATTTTCTCTGTGGTCCAAATTTTGGCTTAATTGGATTTGATGATATTAGATAACACAAAAATTTACTCTCCAACATTTTTCTATCGCAAAAATTGACCCGTTGAGCCTGCAAAAACCATAATCGGGCAACTTCCTAATTTTGCACCTATTTTTTCTCTCCCGATTTTTACCTTGTGACCGGTCTGGATTTCGAACCAGTATTCGATTTTTCGGATCTTATGTTCAATGCTTTTACGAATTGCTATCTACGTGTTTTTCTTAAAATAAAAACAAAATCGCATCTAAATCTAGAAAGAGAACACAAATTTCACGTGATCTAATTTTTTAACCATTCGATTGCACATGAGATACACCACCAGAACAAGTTAAAAAGACCTCGATGCGCGTAGCTGCGTTCTGTTTGGTAGCGATACTGCGAGTGTCGGTTTTGGGATACACACACCCCCAAAAAATATTCTTCTCTAGATAATTAGAAGGCAGCCCTCAATATAAAGACTCTTACCCTGCTTCATTAGCACTTTCTTTGGCAAAATTTGACACTAAATAATGAGGCCAGCAAACTACTGTACTTGCTGTAAAATCGTAAACTTGTCAACAATCTAAAAAGTGAGGGAATAGATTGTACCTAATCTTTCTAGAGACGATATAACTGTCTCATGTTAAAATAAAGCATTTTCTTATTGTCATAATGATGTTCTCTGACTTTTAGTATATTTTGTCCCTAATATTGGTTTCCCGTTTGGACCACCTTTTTGTTTCATTAAAATAAAAAATATGACCGTTATTTATTAGATCAACATTTAAATTCAAATTTTCTATCTCTTGTGTGGGTCCCAATAACGACTATATTTTTCATTCTCATTCTACAATAAGGTGGCCAAATAGGAGGGAATAAAAATATGAACCATGCTTGGCTACCAGAAGGAGGTTCACGGGTGTGGGGTGGTTGGTTCACATATACTCACAAGTGCGGGTTGGGGTTTTTTTTTTTTCATTTTTTATAGCTATATTGACAGAGTACAATTTTATAAGCATTTTCTTATTGTCATAATGATGTTCTCTGACTTTTAGTATACTTTGTCCCTAATATTGGTTTCCCGTTTGGACCACCTTTTTGTTTCATTAAAATAAAAAATATGACCGTTATTTATCAGATCAACATTTAAATTCAAATTTTCTATCTCTTGTGTGGGTCCCAATAACGACTATATTTTTCATTCTCATTCTACGATAAGGTGGCCAAATAGGAGGGAATAAAAATATGAACCATGCTTGACTACCAGAAGGAGGTTCACGGGTGTGGGGTGGTTGGTTCACATATACTCACAAATGCGGGCTGGGTTTTTTTTTTCATTTTTTATTACAGTGGGCCCCACCCTTGTGTGTATTGGTAAAACTTATGTGAAACACTATTATGTACATTTGACTTTACTCTAAAAAGATTTATTTTCCATCACATTATTAAATAAAAAATTACATATACAAAAGTGAGATTAATTATTTGTCCCTTATTTCGAGGGACGTTATCCTAATTAACCATCGTTAGAGACCGTGTATGCTAATTAATGAAAGGATGAATATAAGAATACATGAAAAGAAGTTGGAAACATAAGTGTGATAATAAGTAAATGTTGGGACCTTTACAAAGCTATAATACACCCAGTGTTCTAAAAAACTCGTCTAGATTCAAATTCAAGCAAAACGCTTCACTTCGCTTCGTATGTAGGCGCTTTTTTTTTTTCTCAATTCGTAAATAGTTGAATTTTTTCATTCCCCTCTGTTGTCTTTTATAGGCACACTTTATTATTTTTTTTCTTTTTTAAAAAGTCTTTTATTTGACTTTAGTTTATTAATTTTTGTTATTTTTTAAAAAACTTTTCATTTGACTTTAATGTTAAGTTTTTAAAAGACTTTATTTGTATAAAGGTAGTGATGGCAATGGGCCGAGCCGAGCCGGCTCGGCTCGTTACCCCACGAGCTCGGCTCGTTTGCTCGTGGGCGAGCTCGGCTCGGCCCACGAGCTCGTGATTCACGAGCCAC